GAAAGAGGGGAAGGAAAGGAATGAAAGGGGAAGGAAAGGAAAGAGGGGAAGGAAAGAGGGGAAGCAAAGGAATGAAAGGGAAGGGGAAGGAAAGAGGGGAAGGAAAGAAGGGAAGGAAAGGAAAGGAATGAAAGGGAAAGGAAAGGAATGAAAGGGAAAGGAAAGGAAAGAGGGAAAGAAAAGGGGAAGGAAAGGAAAGAGGGAAAGGAAAGGAAGGAAAGGGGAAGGAAAGGAAAGACGGGAAGGAAAGAAAAGAGGGGAAGGAAAGGAAAGGAATGAAAGGGAAAGGAAAGAAAAGAGGGGAAGGAAAGGAAAAAGGGAAAGGAAAGGGGAGAGAAAGAGCTTTGTCAGGCCCTCGGGGGCTCGGGAGAAGCCCCCCCCCCCAGGATCTCTCGAGGCCTCTGACCTCCCAAGGCCCCCCTGCAAACGGAAGCAACTTTGGCAACGCTGCCCTTGGGTTTCTTTTTAAAAGGGGGAGAAGAGCAAAACGGAGTGGGAATGAGAGAGCTGGGAGGGACCCTTGGAGGTCATCTCCTCCAGCCCCCCCTGCTCAAGCAGGAGAACCTATCCCACTTCAGACCAATGTCTGTCCACTCTCTTCTTTTAACAGATGAGCAGAGTTGGAAGTGACCTTGGAGGTCATCTAGCCCAACCCCCCGCCCAAGCAGGAGACCCTACACCATTTCCGACCGAGGGCAGTCCAGTCTCTTCTTGGAAGCCTCCAGGGATGAAGAAGCTCCCACAATTTCCGAAGGCAACTTGATTCATTGTCCTCACCGTTAGAAAAACTCCTCCTTATTTCCACACTGAATCTCTCCTTGGTCAGTTTCCATCCATTATTCCTTGTCCGGCCTTCGGGGGCTTTAGAAAAATAGCTTGACCCGCTTCCTCCTCTTCTCTGGGGCAGCCCCTCCCTCAAATATTGGAAGACCACTATCATGTCTCCCCGGGTCCTCCTCTTCCCTAGACTAGCCAAGCCCAGTTCCTGCAACCGGTCATCTTATGTTTTAACTTCCAGTCCCCTTATCATCGGGGAAGGGTGGGGGGTTGGCCTAGATGACCTCCAAGGTTCCCTTCCAACTCTGATTATCCACCCTGGTTGCTCTTCTCAGCCCTCTTTCCAGAGTCTCCACGCCTTTTTTTTTTTATTATGTGCTGACCAAAACTGGATGCAGGACTCTAGGTGTGGCCTTACCAAGGCTTTATAGGGTGGGATTAGTCCCTCCCTTGATCTTGACTGGCTCCCTCTGTTTATCAATCCCTTCCTGGTTTTAACCTCACACCTGCAAGGTAGGCCAGGCTGGACCAGGCGGCCACCATCAGCCAACCAGCCTTAGGTGGGCTGGTTGAAGGCTCTGAATTCAACAATCTAAGTCTAAAGAAAAGAAGAATGAGGGGTGGGAAGAAGAGCCCGTCGAATTAATTCTCCAAGGCACCAGAAGGCAGGACGAGAAGCAACGGACGGATGATAATCGAAGAGAGAAGCAACCTAGAACTTAGGGGGAACTTCCTGACAGGGAGGACAATTAAACCGGTGGAACGGCCTGCCACCGGATATTGTGGGCGCTTCATCACTGGAGGTTTTTAGGA